TGTCTAAGTCCAAGAGGATGACACACAAATACCACCAAATGAGTTACAGGGGTGTAGGTTGTAGCCGTGGCATAGTGTGGGGCCATTTTGGTGCCCATAGCCCCACTGTATGCCAACCTTTTTGAGCCACCTGGAAGAAGACTTCCTCAAGAACTGCACCATCAAACCCTTGCTATACTTAAGATATATTGATGACATCTTCACCATTTGACTGAAAACCTGCAATCTCTGATTGAGTTCCATCAGAAATTCAACAATCACCATCCCTCCATCCAACTTTCTCTAGAATACTCCTGCACCAACATCTCCTTTTTAAACACGATGATCAGTATCCAGAATGATAAAATACAGACCACATTATACAAGAAACCCACAGACCAACATACATACCTGCACAGAACCAGCAATCACCCTAAATACACCAAAAGAGCTGTGATATACAGCCAAGCCCTCAGATACCACTGCATCTGTACTGAAGAGAACACCCGGGATTGCCACCTCACCAATCTTAAAAAGGCTTTCACCCAACAAGGACACTCCTCCAGAGAGGTAGATTGCACGTTTGAAAGAGCCACCTGGATACCACGTGAAGAACTGCTGCAGTACAGAAGAAACCCCCCCACAAATTGCACACCGCTGGTTATGACTTATCACCCCTCCCTTGAACCTGTACAGAAAATCCTCAAACAACTGCAACCCATACTAGAAAGAGACCCTATTCTTTCAAGCCCAGAACACACCAAATGGATCCAGACCGTGCCATGACAAGAAATGCAAAACCTGCCAACACATCTCCACCACCCCCACTATTACTACACCCCACAACAGAGCCATCAGCATTCCTGGATCTTACAGCTGCACCTCCAGAAATGTAATATATCTCATCCAATGCACCAAATGCCGTGACGGAAAATACGCAGGAGAGACCAAACAACAACTGCGCACCAGAATGAACGCACACCGGAAATCTATCAAAGACAGAAATACCCAATTACCTGGAGGGGCACATTTCTCACAGGAGGGCCACTCTCTCTCCAATCTCTCAGTCCTGATCTTCAAAGGAAACTTACAAAACAGTTCCCAGAGACGAGCCTATGAACTCCACTTCGTCAACCTCCTGGATACTAAAAATCATGGACTAAACATAGACATTGGATTTATGACACATTATAACCTGCCTGACATCTGACTCCCCAGGTATCTCTCCACTTTCATCCCCCTTCTCTCTCTCCTCCCCCTCCCCAGCCTCTCTCTCACCCACTGACTCCTCAATCTACATTTTCACTGACTACCTGTCTTGTATGCATACCAGCCCAGCCCCTGGCTTCTTTACTTTTCATTCCATCCAGGAAGAGCACACACCAACTGCTGAAACTTCCTTAGCCTGACGAAGGGTTTTTGCACCCGAAAACTTGCTTAATAAGTGTTTTCCAACTATTGAAGTTGGTCTAATAAAAGATATCAGATTCACCCAAAGAACCTTGTCTACCAAATGAGTTAGACACCTGGATGTTCCAAAACACCCTTTCTACTAGGGAAGTTATTTAGATGCCTAAAATTCTGCTATTGCACATGACCCAATTTGGGTCAGAGGTGGGCGGGAAGGTAGCGGGAGTGTGCTAGGATCCAGCTGCTGTTACTATTTTTCCCAGAAGCTGCACAGGTAAAGTGCCCAGCACCATGCTCCTCACTGTGGTGGCACAGGGAAAGTGTCTGCAGCCAACACTTTTCCCTGAAGTGGCAGGGAGCTTTGGCAATAGTCTCCTTCCACTGCTGCAGCTGGGATGACTGCCATCTGAGGACACTTTTTCAGTGCTTTACCAGGGAAAAACAGTCCCACCTTCCATGCACTTGCCTGCTTTGACTTGATATTGGTCAATCCAGCCCAAAGCCTCAAAAGGTTGCCAACCCCTGACCTAAAGTAGCGTTAGTAAAAAAGATGGGACTTTATTTTAAAACGTTTTCAAAAAATAATGGAGTCTCTTTAAAAAAAAATTACACTATATAGTATATTATATATAGTATATATTTATATTCTGTTTTTATATGTAGTATAGATACATTATTTATGTTTACATAGATTGAGATTTGGACCCAAGCAAGCAAGACCTCCTTCGCCAGTGCCTCAACAAAAAAACTGGTGAATGCCAATCAATAATGGAAGGATGTCAGCAACGTGCCCTCAAGGCCACTGTCATCAGCTCCTGTGAAAAGACATTTGGATTCTCTACAAGGAAACATCAAGACTGGTTTGATGAGAATGACCAGGAGATCCAAGAGTTGATCAATTGCAAGCACAAGGCCTTTTGTGCTTGGCAAAAAGACACCAACTCCAAGCAAAATAAATTGAAATCTCCAACAAGCCAAGGCAGAGGTCCAAAGGAGGACCCACAAAATGAAAAAAAAAATTATGGGAAGACAGGGCTAAGGAAATTCAACATCTTGCTGACATCTACAATATGCACAGTTTCTTCAGTCACCAAACCATGTATGCTCCAAGCACTTAGAGATCAACCCCCTAAGAGATCTAAGGATGGAGGAGACCTGATCAAGGAAAGGGGAACCATTAATGCCCGTTGGAATTATTTTGAAGACCTTCTCAATCGAGACTGCTGTTGATGAGAGTGTTCTCAATTCCATCCCACAACACCTAGTCAGAGATGATCTCAGAATCCCTCTGATCCTTGACAAGGTGAGGAAAGCTATCAAGCAGATGAAGAACAATAAGGCATCCGAAGCTGATGAAACCCCTAGTGACATTTTCTAACAGGGAGGAAAGGAGCTCACATCACAGCTTCTTGCCCTCATCTTAAGGATCTGGAATGACAAGGAAATCCCAGACTACCTTAGGAACACCATGATTGTGACAGCCTTCAAGAAAGAAGACAAGTCCAACCGAGGAAATTACAGAGAAATCACTTTGCTGTCCACCACAGCCAATTGATTGTTAAGAGAATCCTTCTGAACCGTCTCTTTCCACTTGCTGAAGAGCTTCTCCCAGAATCTTAGTATGGGTTTAAGGTGTCAAGAGGCACAATTGACATGATCTTCATGGCTCGCCAGCTGCAGGAAAAATGCTGAGACCAACAAAAGCTTTTCTACATGGCTTTCTTTGACCTCATGAAAGCTTTCGGCTCTCAGTCAAGAAGTGCTGTGGAGGATCCTTCTGAAGCATGGATGCCCACCAAAATTTGTCACCATTCTCTGCCTGCTCCATGACAGCATGTGAGTGGTGGTTCTCTGTAATGGATCTCTCACAGATCCTTTCAGGTTAAAACAGGAGTTAAGCAAGGCCATATCGTTGCTCTAATACTTAATATTCCTTGCTGCAATGCTACATCTGACCATCAGCAAGCTTCCAGCCACAGTGGAGCTAAACTACTGAATGGACAGTAAGCTGTTTAGCCTCAGCCAACTCCAAGTCAAAACCAAGACCACCCCAACCTCAATCGCTCCAGTATGCTGATGCGCTCCTCAATGAGCTCCAGTATGCTGATGTTGCTGTAAACATGTGCTCACTCAGAATCACAACTTCAGGCAATCATCAACATCTACTGAGGCATACAAGAAAATAGGATTGATGCTTAACATTCAGAAGACTAAGGACTTCCACCAACAAGCTCCTAATGAATAGTTCCCAGCTCCAGTAATCCAAATCCACTATGAGGCTCCAGATGCTGTTAAGTATTTCCCGTACCTCAAAGGTCATCTCTTGCAGAAGGCTGATGTTGATGAAGAAATCCAACATCACATCAAATGTGCAAGTGCAGCCTTTGGATGCCTGAAGAAATGGATGTTCAAAGATTGCAACATCAGATCTGAAACCAAGCTCATGGATTATCAAGCAACTGTGATCCCCACCTTTCTGTACAGAGCTGAGACATGGACAACAAACAGGAGACATCTAAAGTTGTTGGAGAAGTACCATCAATGCTGCCTGTGGAAGATCCTTTGAATCCAGTGGGAAGACAGACACATCAATGTTAGAGTCCTCCTGCAAGCAAATACCATGAATATTGAGGTGATTATCATTCAACATCAACTTTGTTGGGCCAGTTATGTAATCCAGATGTCTGACTCCAGACTCCCAAAGCAAATTTTGTTCTCCCAGCTCAGCCAGCTCAGGAGGGGAGCAGAGAAACAGCTTCAGGGACATCCTCAAGGCTGACTTAAAAAAAAAAATAGCAACATCAACATCAAATCATGGGAAACTATTGCCCAGGACTAACCCAAATGGAGAAGAGTCTGCTGCAGGGATCTCAGTATGACAACAGGAGATGGAAAAGTGGAAGTGGCAGAAACAATGTGCTGCAGACAAAAATCGAGAATGCAGAGGCACCCACCGCACACAGAAACATATCTGAGCTGCAGTAGAGTCTGTCGATCATGGATAGGCCTCATCAGCCATCTTTGGACACACGGATAAGACAATCATGGAAAGCAATCATCCTCGGCTGTGAGGAATTGCCGAAGAAGAGATGCATTAATTATGTTTACAAGGATTAAGACTTATTATGGTATTTTGCCCATTCAAGTGCTGCTTGAATTTTTTCTCCCTGATAATCAGCAGGTGCCCCCAAATCTTCATCCACTTAGTATTAGTGCAAAGAAGAAAATGCACAAGCTGAAGATATTTTTTCTGCTCCAAATCTCATGTTCCTCAAAGCCCATGAATATGTTCCTCCATAAGTTTTCCATGATAAGAAATGTTGAGGCATTTGGCAACTCGGGTCTTTGGATCTACATATCTGTATACACATACCTACTAACTCTGAACTCTTGCTGCATACATGATGCTTTTGTAGCATGAGAGAGCATGCCTGCTTGCAGTGCACTTTCACACAGAGGCAGAATTTGTCCTATGAAGAGACTGAGACCAACTGCATTATCATGCAAATTGATTGTTTGCCAAGCAAAAAGTTGTAAATTATTGCATTTATGGGTAAGGGCTATTTCTACACAACATGACATTCTCCAACTTAAATTAAAATGACCATTACCTGCTGGAATAAAGCATAGTTCCATCACGTTGATATTGCTCATCTGCATACAAAGAAGAAGAAGAAATTGTGGTTGCTAAGGAAGCTGCTTCAAACAGAGATGGAGTACTTGGCACTAAATCTGGCCGGTGCCGGGAATCTAATACTGCATAGGGAAAAATGTATATAAAAATATTTTCACTATAGGCTTTTTTAAAGTTCATTTATAACTACTAGAAAAGATAATATCTACCCTATCTTTATAAGTACACACACGCACAAGTGCTGTTAATGTATTCTCCAGCAGCACTTAACATTTTAATTGACAAGACACTGATAGTCATCTAACCAGTGTATATGCTTCTACCTACTCCTAATCTCCTTAATGCCATAAGATTAGTTTCTACTGCTACCCAATACATTTAGCAGAATACACAGCAAGGCCAAGGACATTACTTAGCAGTAATGTGACTATATGAGAATTTCTGCTAAAAGAACAGCTCAGTCTTAAAACTTCATGTTCATACTGGGTATATTTTCAGAAATTGTGGCCTCACTGTTAGTGCACTGTCTAACATACTACCTTCTTCATCAAGACTGGAATAACTTTGTCCTTCAGTAAGCATGTCATGCTTTTCATCCTTCCATTCTTGGCTAACAGCACATATGATTTCCTGTGATGTTGCCTTTAGAGCTGCAATAGAATTGCATCGTCTCTTAGAAGGAGAGGACCTTAAAGCTGCATGAAGAAAAGAGAGTTCACAATGAATAAAGCTACTGGATTATAAACATTTTACCAATCATTAACAGAGGGTTTGTAAATTTTATGTTAAAAAAAAAAAATCAACAGGCTGCTACCTACAAAAGCTATTACTAAATTCACAGATCAAGCAAATATCACTTTTATTCTAGAGAGTTCATATCAGATATTACCTATCAAAGTTTTAATTTTTTTTTATTTTAGAACACGCAATTTATATGCTTTTTAACATTTCCTAAATTACAAACCATCCCTTGAATATCTGCCCAAAAAGTCAGAAGAAAAAAAGTGGGTAGTGTAGGTCCCATCTACAAGTGAAATTTTTACCAGTTAATCACACCTTAAATGGTCATCCAGCCACATGTTCAATCAATGGCATGATAAAAGCAGGAATAAGCTGCAAAGTTATTGCACAAAGTGTGTAATAACTTTGGAGCTGCTTTCTATCATGCCATTAATTGAATGTGTGGCCAGGGGCTCCTGAGGCTGGGACCCCTATCAGTTGATCAAAGCTCTCAGCTTGGGAGGTCCTTATGCACCCCCACACCTGGGAGCTCCCAGCTGAAAGGGCTTCCCGTGGTGAGGGGAGCAGTAAGGGCTTTGGACCCCTGTGGCTAAGTCACCCCACAGTTCTCTGTGGCTGGGAGACTGCATGAGTATGAGCTGCAGTCTCCCAGCCACAGAGAACTGTGGTATGCTCCCATGGCTGAGAGATCCCATAAGCTGCAGTCTCCCAACCATGGGGGTTTATAATGCATTCCTGTGGCTGTGAATCGCATCAGCTGAGAGGACTCCTAGCTGCAGGAGCTTGCTTCTTACTGGTGCAGGGGGAGCCTGGAATTGGTCTGATGGGATCTGATTCGCGATCCCACTATTATGCCTCCTGCCATGCACATGTAGCATGGCAGCAGGTGCAATTGTGTGAATTGTGCATTAGATTCCAATGCATCTTTATGTATATATGTGGAGGGGCTCATGGGATAATGGAAGGAAAGGAGAAGAGACAGTAATTAATAAAGTAATCAAGCCTTTGAACATTTCCTGTGGATTACTGACAAGCTAACAGAGCTAATGGCTTGAGGATAATTATTGCAATACTGTAAAACTATCTGTCATGTCTAAGGATTTCCATTACAGTTTAGCAAACATCTACTTTACATGAAGTAAACATTTCCAAGATATTAAAGCTTGTACATTTTCTAATCAAGTTATGGGGCTGCTTCATGAAAATCTCCTTTAGTTTATAATGATTTCCAGAGACTGCCATACCTGTGTGAGCAATTTAGGCAAATGCAGGATCTAACAACTGCCACTGCTGTTTCTCACTCAAAACCCATACTTATGCAATCTCCTTTTCCAAAAGCTTTTGAATAATTTCAGTTGTTGCTTTTAGTTATGAAATGTTTCAGATACCCCAGAGATCGACTACAGCGGTTGTTCAAAGAAGCTGGAGCTGGTGTTGGTACAAGATTCAATATGAGAAGTACCCACTGCACATAGCTAAAAGTGGGTACGTGCCTTTGGAAGGAAAGTACCAGATATACCAGACCTCAGGCGCAAATGATCCAGTGCTACTCCAGAGCCCCTTTGAAAATAGTGCCACAGGCTTATGACTAGGGGTATTGTTATCATAACATTTTTGGTGCTGCTGTTGTTTAAAGGCAGTAAACCCTTGCTGGATTTAATGGTCACTGAGATGAGACATTTCAAAAGCAAAGTGAGGGTTAGTAGGTGATGAAGGCACTAGAATGGGACTCAAAAGGAATGGGTTCATTTCCTGGTTCTGACACAGAGTTCTTTAAAAAAAAAAAAAAAAAAAAAAAAGTCTCTTGATGTAGCTGTGACTCGCTCTCCTCCTCCTCAAGCCTCAATCCCCCAGATTTAGATCAGGTCACAAAGTCCCCGGACGAGGGTGTCGGGGTGGATGTTGTCTTCCTCAACTTTAGGAAGGTCTTTGACACGGTTTCCCAGCAGATTCTCTTAAAAAAACTTGGTGACTGAGGCACTGATGCCTACAGTCAGATGGGTGGCAAACTGGCTAGATGGTCACACCCAGAGAGTGGTGGTGGACAGGTTGTTTTTGACCTAGAGGGATGTGGGCCATGGAGGCCCCCAGGGCTCGGTCCTGGGACCTATACTGTTCAACATCTTTATCAGCGATCTGGACGCAGGTGTGGAAAACATGCTGTCCAAATTCACTGACGACACCAAGTTGTGGAGTGAGGTGGGCACACGGGAGGGGAGGGACAAAATCCAGCTAGATCTATACAGGTTACAGAGGTGGGTGGATGAGAATAGGATGAAATTCAACTCAGACACGTGCAAGGTACTGCATCTAGGGAGAAGGAACCAGCCACACATCTATAGGCTGGAGAACACCCTTCTTGTCAACACGGTGGCAGAAAGGGATCTTGGAGTCATTGTTGACTCCGGGAGGAACATGAGTCGCCAATGCGAGGAAGCGGTCAGTAAGGCTAACCGCACCTTGTTGAGCATCTACAGATGCATCACAAGCAGGTCCAGGGAGGTGATCCTTCCCCTCTTTGTGACATTGGTCAGCCCACAATTGGAGTACTGCGTCCAGTTCAGGGCGCCGCACTTCAAGAGGGATGCGGCTAGTATTGAGAAGGTCCAGAGGAGGGCCACTCACATGGTCAAGGGGCAGCAGGGTGGCCACCACCCTGGGCTGCTAGGAATAATGGCCACAAATTGTTAGAGAGAAGGTTCAGGCTGGACATTAGGAGACATTACTTTACAGTTAGGGCTGCCAGGCTCTGGAATGGGCTCCCAAGTGAGGTGGTACTCTCTCCTACCTTGGGGGTCTTCAAGAGGAGACTGGACAGATATTTGGCAGGGGTGATATAACCACGGCACCCGATCCTGCCCGGGGCAGGGGGTCGGACCTGATGATCTGTTTAGGTCCCTTCCAACCCTAAGTACTATGTCACTATGTCTTCAGCATAATTTGTTTCCCTTTCACCCTTTGTCTATTTAGTGGTCACACTCTTGAAGAGGCACAATTTCATACAGTTTGGTATGATGAATCAGGATCTAGGTTCTGTGTTTAGTGAGAGCTGACTTCCCTATAGTTGAGTGTAGGGCTCATCTAGTTTTAATTCTCACTTGCCTTTTGTTTTATTTTTGTCCTAATCAGTGTTCCAAAATCCTGCTAGTTCAGTATCAAATGTGAATTCCATGAACATAGTTAACTTCTTACTTCAGTTAATTAAGGAGCTGTTATAACAGAATGATTTTGCACTGGTGACAGTGCAACACAGTGAACACCTTCTATCAAATTTGGCACGATGCCATTTGCCATTACTCTTCCACTGACCCTTGAGCCAGATTTCATTCTGTGACATCAAAATAAAGTTTTATAAGACCCAATCATGCTATTAACTACAATCCAAATTTCAGTACATATTCATAGATTCATAAATTGTATTCCTATTAATTAATTTTATAATTCTACCACCAAGTCATGTTTGTCCATCAAGATCTGTTCAACTAATAGCATGGCTCTTATAAAGTTCATAGTTGCTTTTTTGTATACATTTGGTATTTCTCATATTAAAATTTGTCGTTGTTTTATTTGGAATAGAATTTAGATGTCTGGGATATGATGCTAGGATCCTATTTGCATTTTTTAAACCATTGATACATTTTTCTTTCATTCATTAGTACCTTAATAGTTTTCAAAAACTGTAAAGGCAGAAGCACAGTGAATTAATTTTAATTCCCTTAAATTGCATGTCATTTAGACCAGTTACTTTATGCATTTCATCTCCTATCTTAACATTTCATAATGCTACTTTTGTATCCGAGTGAGTCAAGAACTTTTCTCCTCCTAATCAGAAGAGTCTGCCATCATAAAAAGCTTTATTGCAGGACCCAGTGAATCAAAAATCACTTTTCCCTGTACAACTGATGTATTCACTTGGTCTGCTCTTACAATGTTTACCTTAGCTCACATGCATCTCTGAAAGGATCGCTGAGGTCACCTGCACCTACCTTGCTGCTGGTAATTTTCATATGTTCTTAAAATTCTTCATTACATTAAATTTCCCTTCAGTAGCAATGATGGTTTCCATTAGAATTCACTAACATCCTTTAGGCTATTCCGTGTGCTTATCAGCATTTGCATTAGCACACATAGGACATCATGCCTAATTAGAGAGTCACTGCTTAGAGTTACTTCTTAATTTCTCTCTCATACCTTCTTTACATTTCTTATTTCTTGGTTTTCAGTTGACCTACTCTCACCTTCAAATAATTCCTAAACCTACTTCTGCTCATACTTGAGAAAAGAAAATCTATTGGTAGTGACTAGGTTGAAAGACTCCATAAAACTTTTGACTAGTACTTCTCTATTTACTTTTAATTCATAAACATCCATCTCCTTTCTTATTCTTACATCTAATTACATCTGTTGTTCTAACTGATGATGGCCCTTTTCATGACCAGGGTCACAGAATTTCCTGAGTTTAATCGTGCAATTGTCCAAATAATTGTAAACTTTCCAAGAATAATTTAAATCATGGTCTGCCGGAGATAAATTTTATTGTCCTTAGATCAAGCAGTTTAACACAGGCCAGTGCAATCTGAAAAATATTGACTTTCAGTGAGGGAATTTTTATTGAAAATAAAACCTGAACTGAACTTTTGTTGGAAATAGCCTGTGAAATCCTAGCTTACTACAGACTACCAGTAATTTCACTATAGACCAGGGGAGGGCAACATCTGGCCCATGGGCCAAATTTGGCTCATGGTGGACTGCATTTCCCAGCAGCTGGCAGGGTGTGTGGCTGGGTAGGGAGCTGCTCTAGGGCTGGGATTTTGCAGCAGTGACAGCGTGGTCCAAAGCTGGGGCAAAGCCGTGATCCTCTGCCTAGGGTGTACGGGCAGCAGGGCAGAGCCATGATCTGCTGCCTGCATGCCCCTACCTGGGTTGTGCAGGCAGTGGATCGTGGCTCTCCCTCAGCTCTGGACCACACTGTCACAACCACAAGATCCCCACCCCAGCCCCAGAGCAGCTCTCTGCCAGTGCTGCTTGGGCCAATCACCATGGAAGCCCCAGCCCTGCGTTGTCATGGCCCTGCCACTCTTTGGGTCTCCAAAGAAACCATCCGCAGTGATGTGGGCAGGGGCTGCTGGGAAATGGAGTCCATTGCAAACTGAATTCAGCCCATGGGCCGGACTTTGCCTGCCCCTGCTCTATAGTGAAATTACTGGTAGTCTGTAGTAAGCCAGGATTTCACAGGCTATTTCCAACAAAAGTTCAGCGAAGTGGGCAGGGGCTGCTAGAAAATGGAGTCTGGCCAGTAGCCAAATCCATCGTTTTGCCCACACCTGCTATAGACTAATTTAACCAGATAACATCTTGATCTAATAATGTACAACTGAATGTCAAATTTTCATCTGTAATCATTTACAAGAAAAATGGTGATGTATTCTTAAATCTTACTGAAGACACAATTGCAATTGAAGTATTTTGTCAATTCAAAATGTAAATCTAAACTTTTTTTTTTAATCTGTAATTTGTGTGTGAACATTCATTCATTGGGTTAGTGTGAAAAATCTCAAGGCTCATGTTAAAAAACAGCCAGTAATTTTGTCTATTTTCCTCATACTTAAAAAAAAAAAAAAAAAAAAAAAAAAAAGCGTGAATTAAAATTCTCCATTCAAAACGAAAGGCTTGGTTTAGCTTCTATGAAAATCTATCCCTTAATGGCTCCTCAAAACAACCCAACAGCCTAAACTGCAAAGGTTTTGATAAAGATTCTCCTGGGAGCTTGAAGAAAGGAATGACCGAAAGCAATTCTATTGACTGTTCCCTGGCTAAACTGTACCCTGGAGCCAGTCTCAGGTAAATAATATGCAATCATATACTTAGAACGGTATTAAAAAGGTGTATGTACAAAAAGCCAGAGATAAATTTAGGGGCACAACCTAAACTTTCATATTTTCCTGACTCAAATGCTTTGCAACCTTAGTATTATGACATTCAAGCTTACTCTTGCTTACTCTGTACAGCTTCTTCTATCAAAAGGTACAAAAGGCCTTTAAAAACCATGAACACATTAGAAATCTAAAGGCCTTTACGTGCTAAATATTGTAGCCCAAGGGAAAACTGATGCACTGAAAGGTTAAGATTCCCATGCACACTACAATCCAACCTACCCTCTACCTCTACATAGAGGACCCTCTACGGGCACGTCCAAATGAGCGCACATGTGCCTCTTGCCCCACCTCAAACCCCTCTGAGGTGGGGCAACAGACACATGCAGGAACAAAAAAATGTTCCCCGCACTGCCAACTTGCAGCATGGGGAGAAAATTAGACCCCTGAATATCCAGGGGTCTAAAAAATAAAAATCAATGTTTAAAAAGGCGGGGCAGGGCACAGTCCCAGAACATGCCCTGAGGCAACCAGAGGCTGGGTTCTCCCACAGACACGCTCTGGCTGCCAGAGCATCTCTATGGTTTGCCCTCACCCTGGTGCTGAAACACGTGGCTGGCCAGGCTGCATGTTTCAGCACCAGGGCTCCAGTGCTGGCGGGTAAGGGGTTGGGGGGCTGGAGGAGGGGGGAG